TAGCAATATGGAGAAGCCTAGGTTGATGCCTTCTTACCTCAGCTTTTTTCCTTTCCTTTACCAATCTGAATGTAGAACTACCTTAATCCAAAGTACATTTTGAGGTTTTATAAACATTGTCCAGATGATATAAAGCTACAATTCAAATCTGTCCAAGAACTGGTTTGAACTGGTTTGTTTGATTTTCCTTATCCTAGGAGTGTGGCTCTTTGGGATTTCGCCTTCAAGTGAGTGGTGTGTGGTTTATCAAACATTCTGCCTTTGAAACCCCCTGGACTTTGACTTTGTGTTCCTTGATCTGTAAGAGTTTTTATGAGCAAGCCTGTTTTTCTCCCATTTTCTGGACCTTCAAATACCAGAAAGGCTAAAATGGTTTTGGATGGTTTGAATTAATCCCTCTGGGTTCTATTATTTTGCCTTGATTTTAGCCAGGTAATTCTTCACAATCTTAGTGTTTGGTGCTTTTAACCTGATTTTAAAAAGTATTTTCTCCGTAGTTTATATTTGTCATCAAAGAGACATTTCATCCAAGTTATGTAGTTTGCCATTATCAGAAGCTAAAGTCTCTGAGTTTTTATGCCTTAAAAAAAAATAATCAGGGCTATTCATACAAAATTACAGCTAAATGCCATTTGGCAAAATTTTATTTCCTCACTATGAATACTGGTAGTTAAAAGACCGTTCTTGACACCTATGTTATGTATTCACTCACATATTTAATACATTACTCAGTTTTGATTGCCCCAGAGAATAGATGGTACCAAATGTTCTTATTTATATACAGAACTCTTTGGGTGCTGGGCTTTCTTAGTGGGAATGATTATTTTTTTTATCTCAAGTTTCTTTTGAAATGAGCCATACCATTATTGGCAGAGAGTAGAATATTTAAATGTTTCCTGGGTGTTTTTCCAAACTATCCATAGAAAATGAAAGAATGATTTATTCTCAGAAACACTCTGAGCATCCTTTACCCAGAATGGGACTGATTTAGATCTTTGTATGGCTGCCTACTTGTCATTGCAATCTCAGCTCAAATGTCACGCTGTTAGAGAAGCCCTCACTGTCTTCAGGGCCAGTCTTTCTATTCCCCTTCATAAGTATTCGTATCTGATAATAATCTTATTTTTCCTATCCTAGCAAAACATGAAGTTCCACAAGGGTAAGGACCTTCCTTAGTGTCTTATGTGTCTTATTCTCCCATTCCTTGAGATGTCTTCAGTAATTATTTGAGGAATGAATGAATGAATAGAATAAATATTTGTTTCTCTTCAAATTGTGATATCATTTTCTCTAAATGTCACAGTAATCTTTTAAAAATTTGTGATTCCATTTCACTAACGTTTTCCAAAATGAGTATAGTGAAAGGAGTTAAGTGAGTCAAGGGAGAGACTAGTAGGTGATGTTATGGGGGGAGGTCAAGGCCTGGGGCTCGTATAGACTTTGGCTTTTTCTCTTAATGATATTGGAGGCCATTAGAGGGTTTTGAGTAAGAAAAGCCATGATCTGACTTATCCTAAAGAGTTACTCTGACTCCTGTCAGAACTATAGGAAGCTGTGGGGATATTGAAGTATGGTCTCTTCTGGGCTCTTCCATCTATTCTGCTGGCTGATTTGCCTATCCCCATGCCAAAATCACCTTGTCTTAATTCCCATGGCTCTCTCGTAATCCTCAGTATTCAGGAGGACATCCCACCAGATTGTACCCTGTAGGCCAAGCCTTCTTATTTTTCTTATCATTCCTTTCTTTTTTTTTATTCTTTTCTCTTCATTCTTACAGTAGGAGGATATTGCTTGTACTTGGAACTCTGCTCTTCGAGATATATTTTTAAATCAACTTGTCTTAATTCTTTAAAAAACCCTATTGGAATTTTGATTGAAATTGCATTGACCATCAATATGGAAAGAATTGACCTTTCTATTGTTGAATCTTCCTAGTCTTAAAATTTAGATAACTCTATTTAGGTCTTTTATGCCTTTGAGTAAAGTTATTATATATATTTGAGTAGAAGCCTTGACTGTCTTTTGTTTGTTAAATCCTAAGCACCTTACTTTGTTATTATTGTAAACGGTATTTTAAAAAATTTACTGACATTGCAAATGAAGTTGATATTTGCTTGTTAAACTTATGTCAGTTACATTGTCAAACACAATTCTAATGTTTGTGAATTTTTTTGAAATTTCTATGTAGACAATTATATCTGCAAGTTCTGTTTTGCTTCTCTCTTTCCAACCTTATATACTTTATTCAGTTATTTTTCATTTTACTGGCCTAGCTAGAACCCACCAGAGTGTTTAATGATAACATTAATAAATGTAAATATAGAACTCTTTGTCATGTTAAGTTTTAAAGGGACTATGTCTAATACATCATATTTAAGAATGTTTGTTGTAGTTTTTTGTCAAGCTGGCTTTATCAGTTTACGAACATTTTAAAATTATTACGGACATGATGTTCCTTAGAGCTCTTTAGAAAGATTGTACCAGTTTACATTCCTGCCATCACTGTACAAAAGAGCACCACTTTCTGATGGTACTTAACCGCATCACATGGGGTCCTCTTATTTCTAAAGTTTCACATTTTAAAGGGCAGAAAATTTTTCTACTTGTTTAGATTTATTTCTTCCTTTTAAGCCAGTATTTTGTGTCGATATCACTGTTATTCTTCTTAGAGATAGAGCAGGGTTTTTGAGACAAAATAACCTATTTTGAAAATATTTCAGATTTAAAGTTCAAAAATAGTACGAAGAATTTCCTATTTCCTGTACCCTTGACCCAGGTTCCCCAAATGTTATCATTTTATATATATTTGCTATATTATTTCATCTCTCTTTTTGTCTTCCCCCATACACACATATGTAATTTTTTCTGAATGATTTAAGTTGCACATATGATGACTCTTTTTCTCTCAAACTTTGGTCCTAGTTCTCAAAAACAAGAGCATTGTTTTATATAAACAACAGTACTGTTAACAACATCTGAAAGTTATCATTCTTCACAAAACTATTATCTAATCTGTAGACATTTCAATTTTATCAGGTGTCCTTTATAGCAAAAATTTTTTTACAATTTTTTTTTTTTTTGGTCCAGGATCCAATCCAGGACCATGTATTACATTTACTTATCAAGTCTCTTAATCTTCTTTAATCTGGAACAGTTACTCAGTGCTTCCTGTCTTTCATGACCTCGACATTTTAAAAGAATACAGGCCAGTTTGAGCTTCGTTGTTTCTTGTCATTAGTTTCAGGTTTCACAGTTCTGGGAGGAATGTCACAGAAGTAGTGATGTGATGTTTACTATCAGGAGGCATATAATGGTGGTTTGTCCTCTTACTGATGGTGTTAACTTTGATCGTTTAATTAAGGTTGTGTCTGGCAGGATTCTTCACTATAAAATTACTATTTTTCCCTTTATAATTAATAGGTATCTTGTGGGGAGATACTTTGAGACTAATAATATCCTGTTTTCCATCAAACTTTCAACCAGTAGTCTTAATATATACTGATGATACTTGCCTGAAATAATCATTACCAGACTGATTGCCAAATGGTGATTTTCTAATTCCATCACATTTATTATTTGGAATTATACTTTACAAAAGAGCTTTTCCTTCTCCTCCATTTATTTGTGTCAGTCATTAAGGGCTCTTCTTTTTAAAAATTCTGTTACTAAGTTATTTTGTAACTAAAATATTCTCATTAGGCCAGTGGGAATCACTTCAAAGTGACCCCTGTGCCTTTTGATGTATCCCTGTCATTCTTTGAGCATTTCCTTACTTTCTGGCATCATAAAAATATACCCTAGGTTTCTATTGTGCTTTTCCTGCCCCACCCAGGACCCAGTCATTTCTCCAAGGAACCTTGGTTTCTTTTAATGAAGCACCAGTGTGCTCATGGCTATCAGGATGTCATTTCTCCTAGGCCTTCTCAGCAACAGAGCTTGGGAATATATTTATGAGAGTGTGTATTTTTTTTTTTTTT